AAGACACCCCTCCCTACCCCCAGCCCCAACTTGGCTGGAGGCTCCAGGAGGATGGCTGGGCAGGAGGGGAGACGGGTCGGTACGGTGGCTGCGCGGGGGCTGGGGTGGAGGGGCTGGTGGGTCCGATGGGATCCGGGGCAAGCTCGGAGGTCCTGCCACCCAGTCCTGCGAGCTCCAGGCCCCAGCCCTGCTCCGTCTGGCCTGGCGCTGGTCCAGGGGGCAGACTCTGCCAGGAAAGAGTGAGCTGAGCCGGGTGAGGGGGAGGCGCTGCCTGGGGTGGTCCCAAAGGGGCAGCTCCCAGGAGGAGGAGGAGGGAAGGCGTCAAGGTTGAGGGGACCCCCGACTTTGAAGAGCCAAAGAACAAGTCTCTCTTTCCATCTTTGGTCCCCCTCTGTGGAGTCTGAAAGCAGACCTCCGGAGTCACCAGAGGGCACTGTGAGCTGCCAGGGGCCAGCAGATTCCCAGGTCACCGAGACTGAATTTGCGGCCTTTGAAAGACAGGGGCCAAGTGCACAGCCACCTGGGGACTCAAACTGGTGGTGGTGGTGGGGGTGCTGGAACCCCCTTGCTAGAGAGTTCTCTGTGTGTGTGCGACGAGAGGCGAGAGTCACCAGGCACTGAAGATGGCAGAACTGGTCTTTTCCCACCTGACAGGCTCCTGGCTCGCCTTGCCAGGGGACGGTGCTTGATTAAAGTCCTGGGGGTGTTTAGTCTGGATGAGAGCCTGCAGCTTCCCTCGTGAGAGAGACTCGGCCGGCCCTCTATATCTCGAGGGGGCCAGCAGAGCCAGGACAAGGGACTGAACGTGACAAGAAGGCGTGTTTGGTTCTGTTTAAAGGAGAATCTTTAAAGCTTTGGGTAATGAGCTCTCTGTTCCTAGGAGTATTCAAGCAGATGCTGGGTGATGATCTGTAGGGAGAATTCCTGCATTTACTGGGAACTTGGACAATGGACCATTGAAGGCCTCTTTTAGCTTCAAGATACTGTGGCCCTATTGTTCTAGACTTCTCTATCTCTAGCTCTCTGTGATTCGGAAACCTAGAACCCCAGTTTCCAGAGAGCTGAAAGTTGAAAACTTTGGCACTTGAGAGTTTGAATTCTGGGATCTCAAGACTCCAGAATTTGGGAGCCAGCCTGGTGGCGTCGTGGTTAAGTTCATGCACTCCACTTCGGTGGCCCGGGTTTCGCAGGTTTGGATCCCAGGCGCGGACCTACACACTGCTCATCAAGCCATGCTGTGGTGGCGTCCCACATACAAAATAGAGGAAGATGGGCACAAATGTTATCTCAGAGCCAATCTTCCTCACCAGAAAAAAAAAAAAGACTCCAGAATTTGAAGACTTGAGGATGATTCTACGAGTCTCAGATTTTCACATTCAAATGATTCTGTGATATGAAAGGGAAGAGAGGAGGGGACAGGTCTCAGTTGGTGGGATCCAGTTCTGCCCATCGGGTGTCAAACCAACCCACCTCTGTGTGTGTGCGTGTGCGTGCATGTGTGTGCGTGTGTGTGTGACACGAAAGTGTAAGGTTGCAGAAAGTTCTGCTCGCAAAGGCAGCCTGGTTTTCCTATTTCCTGTGTCTCCAGCTTCCCTGCTCCGGCCATTGGAAGGCTGTCACAGGGATAATTATAGCCCCCAAACAAAGCCGGCGACTGGAGGTAGGCATAGCAACGGTTGGTTACCGCCTGCACTGTCGTAGAGATGTGTAAGTACAAACAGGTGTCAGTTCCCTCCTATTAGCTTAAATGGCAAAACTTGAAAGGTGCATCAACTTCAAAGCACAGGTTTCCATGAGATGTCTGTTAATGGCGTGCCTGCCAAGGGGTGACAGCTTCATATTAAATACTTTAGCATCAGTAATGAGTTGATGAGATTTTAAATACTCAGGCTGTCCCCAGACAACTGAGGAGCCTAGAGATGAGAGAAGAGCCGTGGATTCGGTGTGGGTTCCAGCTCTGCCGATTAACAGCCTTGGGCAGCGGTGGGTAAGCTCTCCACGTCTTTGTTTGCTCACAGCCCGGTGGGGTAGCCATCGGCCCTGCCCTGTGACCCCTCAGCATTGTTCTGAGGCTCTCAGGAAGGCACAGGCAGGAGAGTGTTTGGAAACCGCATTGCCAGTGCTGAGATTTAAGTCGGGACCTCGTGGTGCTGATGCTTTCGGTGGTGTCGGCCATGTGCCCAGCGGCCAGCCAGGCCTGGGGCAGCTCGCTGCTGCCTCCTGTCTTCCTCTGCCCTCCCCTCCCACACCGCCGGGCTCGCCCTTCAGCGAGTGACCAGAGTGGGGCTGAAGCTGCTGTGGCCCCCAGAGTTGCCTGCCCCTCTGATCCTGGGCCTGGCACAGAGCAGGCCCTCAGTACCAGGCTGTGGAAGGAAGGAAAGGAGGAGGAGAGGAAGGAAGGAAGGGAGAGAGGGAGGGAGGAAGGAAGGAAGAAAGGATGGAAGGAGGGAAGGAGGGAAAGAAGGAAGGAAGGGGAAGGAAGGGAGGGAGAGAGGGACGAAGGCAGGCCCCCTGAAAATCCCTGTGACATTTCTAGCTACTCATCCTCCACTGGTAAAGCTGGATGGGCTCCGAGGCTCCCGGCTCGGCATCCTGGGTTAACGTGGAGCCTCGTGCGTGACTCCTGGGGCCCATTGTCAGGAAGGGGCACCCAACACGCAACCTGTGTGCCTCTGACCCTTGTGGTCATTAGGAACCAGCTGACTCAATAAATGGGGCTCACTGAAAGGGTGCACAAGGGGTCGTATGGGGAGTGGCAGCTCGCAGTAATGTCTGAGTGGTCACTGGGGCGGGCTTTACAGTGATGAGAATGGAGGGCGTTCCAGACCCAAGGCTGCACTGGGCCTCTAAGTTTGGGCCGCTTACCCAGCGCTGGCCTTGAAACAGACTATCTTTGGCTCTCCATTTCTACCACCTAGCCAATTCTCACCAAATGTCCCTGTTTCACATTTTGAAGCGGGGACCTGATTGGTGTGGCTAATAGACACTGGCTGTTGGACAGAGCCCTGCCATTGGCTGCGTCAGGTTAGGTGCCAGCCCTGGTCCATCAGCGGTGACCAGCAGCAGGTGGGGGTGGAGAGCATGACCTCCTACACCTGCTGCTCAGCAGGGACTGGGATGGGGTGGTTCCCTTTGGGAAGAGCTACAGACGTGGGGAGTCATAACTGACATATCCAACACAGACGCAGGACAGCCAGGACACTTGCGGATCCTTTCTCAGTCTCATCGTCCACAGCTGTAAAATGGGGTGATGCTCACTCCTCGCAGGGGCATTGTGAAGACGTGTTCCTGCCCAAGGAGGCACATTGTAAACTAAAGTGCCGTGTAGATGGGAGGAAGGACCTGTGTGTACCTTGATCGTAGCACTAAATAAACTACTGTAATTTTATTCCTCTTGCTTATCTCCCCAAGGAGACTATGAGTTTCTCAAACACAGGGATGTGTTTTACTTGGTTTTGTTGTCTTCAGCATGTTAGCACAGTTTCCGACACAGAGTAGGTACTCATATAAGTGTATGGTGGAGGAATGGATGTTTGGATAGTGGTTGGATGGACAGGGGATGAGTGGATGGATGGATGGATGGGTGGGTGGATGGATGATGCACGGATGGATGGATGAATGAGTGGGTGAGTACGTGGGTGGATAGATGATGGACAGGTAGATGGAGGATGGGTGGGTGGATGGATGATGCACGGATGGATGGATGAATGAGTGGGTGAGTACGTGGGTGGATAGATGATGGACAGGTAGATGGAGGATGGGTGGGTGGATGGATGGATGGATAATGGATAGAGGATGAACGAGTGGTTCAGTAGAGGGAATGATGGATGGATGGGTGGGTAAGTAGGTGGGAGGATGGATGGATGGATGATGGACGGATGGATGGGTGATGGATGGATATAAAATAAAGGCAATCCTCCTCCACTTGCCTTCCGTGCGAGGCCATCCATCTTTTTATTCATGAACATTTATTCTGTTCAAACTTGGTACAGGGCACTATGCGAGGTCCAAGAGATACACAGATGAATAAAACAGAGCCCCCGCCCACATGAAAGTCAAAATAAGCTGTTCAGGAGCATGGACTCGGGGCCTGACTTTCCGGGTTCAAATCCCAGCTCTGCCATCAACTGGCTGTGCGACCGTGGCAAGTTTCCCTAACTTCCCCTCAATTAGATGGGGATAATGTCAGGATCTATCCTATGGGGCTATTGGGGGATTAAAACGGTTACCCAATGTAAAGTGCTGGAATAGGGCCAGGCTCCCAGCAAGGTCCCTGTGAGCATCGGCTGCTGTTATACCAATGGAGGAGCCGGCAAAGAAACATGGTGCAACTAGCCAAGGCATACAACAGGAGCACATGCAGATACGTGGAGGGAGTAGGCACTTAATGGTGCCTTGAGGGGGTACGTCAAGCAAAGCTTTTCAGAGGGAAATATTTGAGCAAGGCCACAAAGCTAGGGGTTTTCTGGGTGGAGTGGGAAAATTCAGAGTCCAGGAGGTTACTGATTTGCCTGGGTTCCCCCAGCTATTAGCAGGAAACCGTCTAGGCTCCTTCCCACCACTTCTGGATGGCAGAGGGGCATTAGGGCAAAGTGGGCACAATGTGGACGAGGAGGCGGCTAAGGGCCAGGACCATCCCAGGGCCAGCGGGGCGCCTGCTGCCCAAGCTTAGAAACATGACAATTCCTCTTGGGGTGGCTGACAGCAGGGAGCTTGGGTTTCAGGCTGCTGGCATCAGCCTTGGTGGTGCCCTTTCTGTTGGCCTCGGAAAGTCCAGATGGTGGCCCAGCCTCCTCCCCACTCTTTCCACACACACAGCCACCCCCACCCCCTGTGGCATCCTACCTCCCCACAATGACACCTGCCCCAAAATAGCTCCCATGTGAGGGCTGGAAAAGGAAAAGATTAGACCCCTGCCTGAAACGGGCGAGGGGAGTGAGCCAGCCGTCAAGTGATCTGTGTCAAGCATCCAGGAAGGTATAAAACCCCTCTGGGGCCAGGCGGCCTCACACCCCAGCTGTCAGGGTCAGGACACCCAGTCAGCCCGCACTTGCTCTCTCTGTTCTTCAGACGGCGCCATGGGGCTCAGCGATGCAGAGTGGCAGTTGGTGCTGAACGTCTGGGGGAAGGTGGAGGCTGACGTCCCGGGCCATGGGCAGGAGGTCCTCATCAGGTAAAGGGAAGAGATCCCGTTGTCCCTGTCACCTTCTTCCCAAAGGTCAAGGGTGTTTGCCGGCGAGGTGGACTGCTCACCCCGGGTTGACCAGTTGGCTGCATTCATTGAGTTTGTTAAAACCCCCACTCAGATCTCCTTTGCTTGTGAGTGTCCAGGATTGGAGTCAGGAGACGGAAGGGGTCCGTCTCACACCTGTGTCAGCGGCTGGGAGAGCTTGACGACCAAACCCTGGGCATCTGGAGATGTCCTGGAGTTGTAGACAGTCAGAGTCAACCAGGGTCCTGAGAGATCTTGTCTAGCCACCTCACCTAATGCAGGAGGCCAGAAAGGACCTGAGAGGGGAAGGAATCACAAGCCCATTAAAGTCTGTAAAGTGTCAAGGCTAAGACATGCCTTCAAGATGACATGTGTAGCTTTAGACCCGGCTCTGCCATGAGGAGCTGCGTGACCTCTGGGAAGGCACACAACCTCTCTGGGCCTCAATTTCCTCTCCTACACAATGGGGGAAATTCCTAATATCTACATTATAGAGGGGAAGTGAGAATTAAATAAGATGAGGCATGGAAGGGGCCCGGCAGATTTCCTGACATATAGTGAGTTCTAGAAGACGTTAGTCACCGTTGTAGATGAAGCCCAGACTAGAGACCTTTAAAGTATTATAAATAGAAAACAAGACAGAGGCCCATCAGCGACTTTTGACGCTGTGTGTGTCTTGAGTTTGAGAGCTCAGAATGGTGTGGTGCCTTCTATAGCAAGGGGTTCCTGAATAAAGCAAAACAAAATTCTGAGTTTTATAAATAGAGGATGGCTTGTGGCTTGTAAATAGAATCTTATTTTCCCATTGCCCTCTACCCCAAAGGGTGACAGACTCTCCCCTTCTCTCAGGCGCCAGGCCAGCGCGGGTCAGGTATCAAATGGGATGTAAGTCAACATTCCCGCTCCAGGGGGGAGGCGGGCCCCGGGGCTGCCTCGAGTGAACCGAGTGTCCTTCACACTTTACTTTACAGATGAATTTCTCCTTCTTTATGAGCCGGGGCAGGTTTTCCTCTCTCCCTCAGATGCCCTTTCGGTCTGCCTTGGGCGTCACCCATTCCTGGCTCCTGTGTCTGTGGAGAACGGCCAGTCCTGTGAGCTCTGTTATCTGAAGTTCGAGCCCCTAGTGGTCCACGCTAGAAACACTTGAGGAAGGACAGTCAAGTTCTTGTTGACTCTAACTGCCATCTTTGGGTGTTCCCTTAGGTCTTTCTCCTCCTGTCCCTGTCAGCTAGCAGCGGGGGCTGCAACAGGTCCTGTCTGATTGGATGAAAGTCTCCCCCCAAGGTGACATCAACTCCTCAGCTGCCAATTTGCTGTCTGACCTTGGACAAGTCACTGCCCCTCTCTGGATCCTATTTGCCTTTTGGTTGAATGAAGGGATTGTCTGCCATGGTCTCTGTGATCCCCTCCTGCTCCCATTCCTTGGCATTCTCTGAGTCCATGATCCTCCCTTGTTGTTGGAGAGGAGGCAGGTGGTTGGGTGGGAGACTGGTTTGTATAACAGAAGTCATTCCAAGGTGATCTGGGGGCTGCCAGCCCTAAGGCAGTGACCTGGATGTCTTGAAGGGGACTTGGGGTATTGCGTCATCAGGAGAGATATTTCCTCCCTTCCCAGGGTGGACCAGAGAGAGCTGCCAGGGGCAAGGGGCCAGGGGCCAGGGATGAGATGTGATCCCTGAGACGGCTGGCCCTGGAAGGCCCAGAGAGCCCAACGCCCTGTCACCTCTCTGGCTGTAGGACGTGCAGGGATCACGCCAACTGATTCTGCGCTCTCCGTGTTTAGGGTCTGGGGAGGACGGCCTCCCTGGCTGGGGTAGGGGGAGAGGATGCTGACTCCCAGGGCTGCAAATGCCCCTGTGAGGAGCTGGTCTCTTGATTCTGTTCCAGATGCCGAACCTGGGCTTCCTTCCTGACCTTGGAAAGGTCATTGCTCCCTCGCCTCTGATGACAAAAGAGGGCAAACTGTGTTCAGCTGAGTCTGTTAATCAAGTGCCGAGGCTTCACTGCAACGACATGATCATAAAGTTCTAGAGCATAAAAGCTGCAAGGTCACTTGGAGATTCTGGCTCCAGGAGTGGCGTTCAGGAGGGAGGGGCTGCTGAGTGCGCTCCAGGCCCCTGCCTCTCCTTCTCTTGCTCAAACCTTTTCTGCTTTGTTTACTTCTGCATTTGAACAGAGGATTTCGAGGCCATGAAAAGTTTGAAAATCACTGCTGGTGGCCAATACTTCTCATGTCACAGGGAGACATGGCCCAAGAGTCTCAGCCAGCCAATGGCGGCTACAGGCAGAACCGAAAATTCCCTATCCTAACGATTATGCTGCTGCCACTGATGGAGATGATGGTGATGATGATGGAGGTGATGATGATGATAGAGGTGGTGATGATGATGGAGATGGTGATGGACATGGTGATGGAGGTGATGGAGATGGTGATGGAGATGGTGATGGAGGTGATGGAGATGGTGATGGAGGTGGTGATGGAGATGGTGATGGAGGTGATGATGGAGATGGTGATCGAGGTGGTGATGGAGATGGTGATGGAGGTGGTGATAGAGATGGTGATGGAGGTGATGGAGATGGTGATGGAGGTGATGGAGATGGTGATGGAGGTGATGGAGATGGTGATGGAAGTGATGGAGATGGTGGTGGAGGTGGTGATGGAGATGGTGATGGAGGTGGTGATGGAGATGGTGATGGTGATAATGGTGGTAGAGATGATGATGAGGAAGAGGAGGAGGACAGCAAATATTTATACAGTACACACTGATTGTCAGGCCCTGTGTTAAGTGTTTCACTTATATTAACTCATTTAAGCCTCACAACAACCTTATGAGGTAGATATGATTATCACCACATTTAACAGAGAGGGGAAGTAACTTGCCCAAAGTCACACAGCTGGAATTCAAATCCAGGCAGCTTGGATTCAGCGTGCCTGCTCTTGACTGCTAAGCTATATCGCCCCACCATCTTGGCACATTAGAGATGAGTTCCCATCTTCAGTCTGGTTCTTTTGTTCTAGAGCAGAAAAGGATTTTTACAGATCTGAGAGAGTCCCCAGTCTTCTGTGTGGGTGTCCGATTGGGCCTCAGTTCAGAGGACAGCTGGGAAATGGCCTCCTTTCTCTCTGACTTGCCTGTAGGCCTGTGATAAACTAGGCAGGCTGACAATAGGATTGAAGATGAAAACACGAGGCATTGAGGGTTTCTGGAACACTGGAGAAATCCCTCCACTCATTTCCGCAGGGTGAGGGGCTTCGTCTGCTCTTTTTCCAGGTTGGTGCTGTCAGGCAAATCTGGGTATGGCCTTCTGTGGCTGCCCTGGGGCTCCCAACTGCAGGACTTAGGGCCAAGGGAGGGTGACAGCCATGTGGCACCAGAATGGTCTGGTTGGCACTAATTACCCCAATTTTCCTGCGCTGTTTAAAGTAAATCTGGGCCCCTTCTCTGGCTGACTGGGGCTGAGAGTGGCAGGGGAAAGCCTTAGAATTTGGAGGCTGAGAAATCAACTAGACCAACCATTTTGGTTTACAGGTGAGTGAACCAAGACCCAGAGAGGTTCAGTGACTTCTTCAATGTCACACAGCACATTGGAGACAGAGCTGGGGCCAGAACTCAGCTTGGGTAATTCTCAGTCCCACGTTCTTTCTCTCATACATCTAAGAGGCTCCCAAAATGTCTCAGATCACTGGCTCCCTTGGGTCCCAGGCCCTTGGCTCTCTTCTGCCCCAGATAGTCCCCTTCCAGCATCCCGACCTCGGGCCTTTGCCTGTGGGTGCTAGGTCTCGCAGCTGTCAGGCAAGAGTTCAAGGATCATTGTCACCAGATAATAATAGTCAGGAGCCCAGGGACCCTTGGGTGAAGGGCGCCAGAGATGAGCTGTCAGTGACACACAAGGCTTGGCCGGGGCCCCAGGGCGAGGTGGTGACATTGGACGTGGCTGTGGACAGGCCTGGGTGTTCTGGGGAAGCCGGAGGCATGTGCTCCCAGGGGAAGGGAGTGTTCCCTGTCCGTGCTACGTGGCGCATGGTCGTATGTGTGTCTGTGTTTGCGTGCACAAGTACAGGTGTGTGCTGCGAGACACTTACACAAACTAGCGTGTGTCCACAGTCGGCTTTAAGGGTGTCACAGAGCCGGGAAGCTACAGAAGAGGAGGCTTTTGAGGAATTGAAGCTGTTAGATGGAAGGAGAGAAAGCCCAGGCAGACAGGGTCAGCTCTGCAAACACTTCAGGGGGTGACCCAGGGGAGAGGGCCTGAGTTATGGAACCGTCCAGTCTTGGGTTTAGGTCTGAACTCTGCCACCAACCGGCCATGTGACCCTGGGCTGGTCACCTACCTCTAAGAAGATGGGGAACATCCCTCCCTCCCAGGACTCCCTGTAACCACACCCCCTTTTCACAGCAGGAAAGATGAGGTCCATGGAGGTGGTGGCTCAGACTCACAGGCAGAGTCCCTCTGCGGCCAGCTCCCTGGTCCCTGGCAGGAATGGGGACCTGGTCTTTGGCAGGAGCCTCCCACCAGGGCCCTCGCCATCTGTACCGTGTGGGGCTGCGAGGTGCAGGGAGCCGGAGCATGGGCTCAAAATAAGCGAGAGCTTTCTGAGCCTCAGAGCTGCTCTGGAGTGGACTGGCTCTCAGGGGTGGTCGTGAGCCTCCTGTCGCTGGGAGTATTTAATCAGCTGAAGGATAATTCCTAGGCAGGATGCTGCAGCTGTGGTCCCCGGGCTGGACTACTTTCTGAGACCTGATTTCAGTCTGGCTCTTCTGCATGCCAGCCCTGTAACACTGAGCTAGAACTTCACCTCTCTGGGCCTCTGTTCCCTCATCTGTGAAATGGGGATACTATGGCCCTAAAGGGAAGTGCAGGTGCAGAGCCTGGCACACAGTAGGTGCCCAACAAATCTAGGGGCCTTCAGCTCCTGTGCTCCCCCCTTCCCTGCTGCACCCTTGATGCCACTCTGTCATCTACTGTCCAACAGCGTAGAGAAATGTGGGGTGCAGCCAGGGTGCAGTGCACGGCTGTCTTTCCTTCCTGCCTCTCACGGTGGCAATGAAGAAGAGGAAGGTGACGATGATGACGATAAAAATGACAATAGCAAGCATTTATACAACACTGACTGTGGGCCAGACGCCCTGCTGGCACTCGGCATAGACCATCTCACTTAATCCCCACAGCCTCCACAGGTAGGGACTAGTTATCCCCATTCCTTGGATGAGAAAGCTGAGGCACAGAGAGGTGAAGTGAACTGCCCAAGTTCACACAGCTGGGAAGCGCTGGGGGGAGGCCGGCCACCTCCAGACCCCACCGCGCGTGCCCGCGTCTCACTCCAGCCCTCCGTGTGCCCACAGGCTCTTCACGGGCCACCCCGAGACCCTGGAGAAGTTCGACAAGTTCAAGCATCTGAAGACAGAGGCAGAGATGAAGGCCTCCGAGGACCTGAAGAAGCACGGCAACACCGTGCTCACCGCCCTGGGGGGCATCCTCAAGAAGAAGGGGCATCACGAGGCGGAGCTGAAGCCCCTGGCCCACTCGCACGCCACCAAGCACAAGATCCCCATCAAGTACCTGGAGGTGGGCGGCCAGGCCGGGGCGGGCGGGGGTGAAGGAGAGGCCTCGGAGGGATGCGACTTGGGTTCCAGGCCCTGCTCAGCCGCGGACTTGCTGGGCGACCTATGTCACTCCTCTCCGTGCCCTAGTTTCCCCATCTGTAAAGTGGGCTGTCACCCACTTTGCCTTCCTCCTGGGGTCATTGACAGTAAACATATTTGTTCCCAAAATTCGTACCTCGTTACCGAGGAAGAAGGGCGAGAGTGGATATGGGTGCACGACTTGCCTTCTCTCCACAAGTGGGTACCATCATCACACCCACTTGACGGATGAGGAAACTGAGGCGCAGAGGGGGTAAGTAGCTTGTCCGTGGTCACAAAGATAGCAAATGGCAGAGCCAGGACTCAGACTAGGTCTCTATGGTCCGGCACCTGGGTCCTAACCCCGTGCCATTGGGAGTCTGAGACATGCAGGAGTTCAGCAGCTGGGGCTCGATTCCAGGGTGAGGGTGGCCAGCAGGCTGGTTCTAGTGGTTTCAGCATTTTTAGAGATGAAGGGACAGAAGCTCAGTTGTCTAGGGGGGACGGGATGTGGTGACAAGGAGCACTAAGGAGCTGAGGGATAAAGCAGGCTGGCTGGTACAGCAATGAGGATAAGGATAATGGTGACAGTATTTGCCTGAGTTCGGGCAATTCTCACAATTACCCCAGGAGGTTAGGAATTCAGTGTTTTCTTTTCCTCTCACACGAGTTCAGAGGAAGGGAGTCCAGAGCTGGTGTGGGAGCCCCAGGGATGCAGGCTCTTCCTCTTTCTGCCATGTCTTTGGCATGTGGTGTCCATTCTCAAAGTTGACTCATGGCCCAAGATGGCTGCTAGAGCTCCAGCCATCTGGTCCATATTCCAAACAGGCAGCAGGAGGAAGAGAGGAAGGCTCTCTTTTAAGGAGTCCCAAAAATCTCATCCAAGAATTTTGTTTACAACTCATTGGCCAGAAGTTAGTTACAAGACCAAACCTATCTGCATGGGAAACTGGGAAATGCAGTCTATTGGCACTCCGAATACATCTAGTGTTCAGTTACTGAGGAAGAAGGAGAAATGGACATTGGGCGGGCAATTAGCAGTCTCTGCCCCAGACAGTTACACTTCTCATCACCATTTTACAGATTTGGAAACTGAGGGCTCAGAGAGGTTAAGTAGCTTGCCCAAGGTGACCCAGTTAATAAGCCAGAAGATACAGTCCAACCTATGGTACTCTGGAACCCAAATTCTTAATCCCTGTAGTACAGTATCTCCCATCAACAACCACCACCACCACCCCCTTCTGCCTTACCTCCCCGCACCTGCCCCCCATCACACACACACACTCCTGCCTGCCCGCATCCCACTCAGCATCAAGGACGTGAGGAGCCAGCCCTGCCTCTGAGATTCTGCCCGTGCTGCGGTCCCTGCCCTCCTCGTCTTCTCTTGGCAAATCCCTCTTCATCCTGCAAGGCCCAGCTCAGAAGCCACCTCCTCTGTTCCAGCCCCGGCCCATGGGGCAGTCAGCTGCTCAACCCGCCAGCCCTCCCCGCACAAAGGCACCTCATCCTCATCCCTGTCATGGCGCCTGCCCGGCTGTCGTGTAATTGATCTCTTTACCCAGCTGTCTCCAGGCTGGGACACAGCTCCTCAAGGGCAGACCCTGGCTCTCTCCCGTTTCTGATCCCCAGGGGCGTGCGGTGGAATCACCATACAATCCGAATGACCGATGCCCTCTCTAGGGACGGGGAAACTGAGGCTCGGAGAGAGGAAACGATGTAGGCAAGGGAGCGCTACCAGCTAGTAGATGAGAGCCAGGTTTAGTAAAACAATAGCAATTTACTGTCAAATCCTTGCACAACATTAAAACCAAGCCCCGTGTCTGCTCTTCCCTCACTGTGGAACCTCCTTCCACGCTCTGCATGAGAAATGGTTCCTTCTCACCTGCGAGCGAGGGGCCCCAGTCTCTTCTCAGTCGCCCAGCTGCCTCATTCCACAGTTTTCAAGATATTAGTGGCTCTGCCGTAGACCCAGGAAAGCTGAGTGGGGGCCCGATGGGGTCATCGAAGCCCCATCTTACAGGTGAAGTCCCCCAGGGGGGTCAGGGCAGAGCTGGGCTGGAACTCGGGTCCCCCAAGTTCTCTGAGGGCAGGACTGCTTCACGGCGCCCGCACCCCCACCTTGTTTTGTTGCTTTTAGGAAATTAAAGGTGAATTTAAGCATATGTCCAAATCAATGCCCAGAGGTGGGTGTTCGTGGGCTGTGCCTGTCTCTGAGCCCCGTGGTGTTTCTTGGGTGTAGACACTTGGGCTTCTTGACGGCTCCCTCAGCACACACCACCCCCACCTGCCTTCTGTCTCTTGCACCCCGGGCACCCTGAGAACATGGGAAAACCCAGCCGTGGCACAGTCTCTGCCTCTGCCCCTGGCTCTGGCCGCTGTTTGTCCACGGTCCCCTGGGTGCAAATTCCAGCTCTGCTGTCCCCTTGCTACGTGACCTCAGTCTGGCTACTTTCCCGTCTGGGCCTCTGCAAAATGTCACCACTTGGTCCACTGGCCAGGGATGTGGTTGGCACCAAATCCTGATGAACCGTTGAAAAAGCCCAGCGGCTTTTTACATCCATGAGCTCTTGCAGCCCCTAACGCAGCCCCGTGCTGTGCACATTCTTGTCTCCATTTTCCTGGAATGAAACTGCGGACATAAGGGCAAACTGCGACGTGAGGCTGACGTCAGGGGTTACTGTCCCAGGAGAAAGCCCGCTGCCTCATCCCTTTCTTCTTCCTCTCTCTCCTCCCCTCGCACTGATGTTTCTGAGCACCAGCTCTGTGCTTGGCACAGAAAACATGATGCTCTTCTCCCCCAGCTCCCCAATAGGCTATTTAAAGCAATAACCATACTAAGCCATTAAAATGTAAAAATTAAGTACACACACATGGAAATAGTTTCCTTCTAGATTTCCTGATTGAAAAATCCTGGATAAAACCACGGAATGCGAGCTTTTCTCCTCCTTTCCGCTGCCCCTGTGGTGGCCGTGCCCTGACCTCTTGCCTGGCTGCGTTGGGTCCATGTCTTGAGCAGCCTCTGAGGAGGGTGGTGGGTGAGCCAGCCCACCTGGCTGCATGGCCTTGGGCACATGGCTCAACCTTTCCTTATCTGTACCAAGACGGGTCTCAGTTTCCCCGTCTGTACCTGTCTCACGAGATAGTGGGGATTAAAGGAGTTAATCCATGGAGATCAGTCAGAAGTGTGCCTGGTGTACAGTAAGTGCTCAAAAAACAGCCCTGGAATGAAGAGGTGGGACTCGGTTTGATTCCCTTCTGGCTCCTGGCCTGTCCCGCCCCGTGACCAGCTCCCCTCTTGTTCCTGTCTCTGCAGTTCATCTCGGACGCCATCATCCACGTTCTGCAGAGCAAGCACCCTGGGGACTTTGGTGCCGACGCCCAGGGAGCCATGAAGAAGGCCCTGGAGCTGTTCCGGAACGACATCGCGGCCCAGTACAAGGAGCTGGGATTCCAGGGCTAAGCGCCCCACAACCTCCACCCCCACCCACCTGGGCCCAGGACGCGGGGGAGGCTGGGGACTGAATCTTATGTAGCCATGTAGAGTTTGCTTGAGTGTCTGCTTTGTTCATGAGAGGTGGGTAGGAGAGGCGGAGGGGCTGAGGGGGCAGGATGTTCAAGACGGCTTCACACGCCTGGGGACCAGGCTCCCCGTGAGGGTCATCCCCTTGGGAAACAGGAGAAGCGTGATCCTATGCTCACAGTGGCCTGCAGAGTTTGGGTCATACTTAATTCTCCTCTGTCCTAAATGCCAACCAAATTCCTTCCAACCTCCAAACTGACCCACACCTGCACCCTCACCTTTAACCCCAAATCTAAACCGTAAAGTAAGCCCCAGCCACAATAATTCTCGGACGCATCACCCTGCCCCTTGGAGACAGCAGAATGTCCCTTTGCAATGAGAAGGAGGTCTGGATGGGGGAGGACAGCCAGACCCAGACCAAGGGAGGTGTCGGGCGTCTGGAACATAAGTGTGCCCTCTTGGGTAGTGGAGTGACTCACCTGGTTTTAATAAAGACCCTGCAACATCGCAGTCTTGGCCTGGTGATTTGCATCCCCAAGGGCAAGTGAAGGGCTCCGAGGGAGAAATGGTGGGAAGGCAGATGCTGGGCCTGTGTGTGTGAGAGCCTGTGGGAGGAGGAGGAGGGAGAGGAGGGGAGGAGGAAGCAGGCAGAAGTGGGGAGGAGGAGAGCAGGAGGGAGAGAGGGACGGAACCACCTCCCTTGGGCCACTACTTAGTGGCAGGGATGGCGCTGGGCAGGAGGAGTGGAGGGGAGGGCCTCGTCTGGTGGGGGAGCGGGCAGGTCAAGACCTTTGCCACCTGGGGTGATCGGTGCCAGGAGCATGGGGCTGTGGGGGCCCAGAACCAGGGGAGATTGTCACGTGGTTTCAGCAATTTATTTAACATGCCCAAGGACACCAGCTAGTAAGTGGCAGAGCTGGGCTCAAACTGTGGCCTGGAAGGCAGCAGAGACTCCAGCTGGGGAAACAGCTAGGTGGCCAGCTGGTGGCAGGCCCTGACCTTCTGGCCGTACAGCAAGGACAGACACATGGGGAATAGCTTACAAACACAGACCAGGGACACAATCCGTATCTACAAGGGCCGAGCGCACGGGTGGAATGTGCCAGTATTGCCGCGAGGATCCAGAATAGAACATCGGCGTGTGACCACGGCAGCCAGGAAGCAGGTCGGCGCAGAGGCCATGGAACGGGACCACGGAAAAGGATCTGGGAGTCTGGGTCGGTCTGGGCGCCCAAGCCATGAGGGCCATGAACAGCACCCAAGACTCAGGGCACCATCTCTGGGAAGCCCACGTCCTCAGCCTCATAAATCTCCAGGGGCTCCCAAGTGCCCCCTGCCCTCAAGTGTCTGTCCTGGGGCTCAGGCCCCTGGGATGAGCCGTCCTCACTGCCCCAAACCTCCGATTATGCCAAGGTTCATGGCCGCTGAACAGGGCAGAGCTCATCCACTGAATGCGGACACGTCCCAGATCCTAACAGGCTCATTTATCAGGCCCTGCTGCAGCGTCCGAGGATGGCGTGAATGCGTCCACCTCCTCCCAGGCCACTCCAGGCTTTGGGAATTCTTAGGCTATCTGAGAAGGTGGGAGAGAAGGGGAGGGGAGTCTAGGAGGGGGGAGCTTTTTGATCTTGAAGCCTGGAGAATAATTCCAGGCATTTCTGTAGTAATGCAGCTGAATACCCGGGCAATGAACGCTTCTGTACAGGAGACGTGTGCAGGATTTAAAGTTGAGTCAGCCGGTCCCTGCCCTCAAGCCATTGACAGTCTCAACGGGGAGACATGTGCTCTGATAATTAAATCAGGGCAGAATAAAATTACTGCAGAAGAGGAGTGCCAGTCATTTACCCTTCATTCCTCATTCATTCAACAAATATTTGTTGAGGACAGCAGGTGAAAAAAATCTCAGTTTATACCTTTGGTGTGCACAAAATACGACTTTTTTTTTTTTCTATAACGCAGCTGAATTTTTGTCTGAATCCTCGTTGTGGCTGGGTGGCAGATACTTAATCTCAGTCTCTTTGAGGTTTTTCCCTAGTTCCAGAATTCCCTGGGGTTTTGGCTAATTCCAAGGGGCTTACGTGTCCAAATTACGGTGTGTATGGGCGGGGAGGTGGCAACCTGGTTCTTGCTGTCATCTGTCCCCAGGGGTGTCCTCAGGGATGCCACACTCCACCTGGTCTTCAGTAATTGACCTCCTCAGGCGCTTGAAACTCTGAGGCTGCCCAAGGCTCCTTCTGCCTGGGGCCACTTCTTCTCAGGGACCCCCCTGTTCCTGCGGGCTCCATCTGGGACGTGAGGCACAGTTTCCTCTGTGTTCAGACCCCACGGGCCTGTCTGAGCTTCTGCAGCCTCCTCCAGGGTTTGGCAGGGCTTGTGCAGGTCTACCCTGTACGGTGGTATGGGTTGTGCACTGCACATGGGTGCCTGGCAGAGGGGGGCTATTAAGGGCGGGATCCAGTCTGTGCTCCAGTTTCCAAGCTGTGCGCCCAAAAGGCGTGCCCTTTCCTAATTCACACGAGGGTACTCTCTGAGCTAGCAGTGGCCTCAAGCAGGGACAGAACCACTTTGTCTGGGAACCACCACCACCTGCAAACTTATTGTTTCCTTTTCGACTTCTTTCCGACAGTTCTGAAAATGACTTTCCGACCTGAGAAGCAGGGACTCCTTGAGATTTCCTCCGAGTTTTTTGCTCCTTCTGTGTGCTCTTTTGGGTCCTCTTAGGGCCTAAGGTTTTGAATCTGCAAATCCGCAAAGAAACATGTTTTTCTTGCGTTCAGCTGTCACATCCTTTCACAGAAATGCCTTGCTGTCTGAAAAGGAAAGAGAAAAAGAAGAAAGGAAATCCTGAGGGAAAATACAGGCAGACAGGCTAATATTTTTAAAATGTGATCCTGCAACGGTGTTTATTCTGCATTAATGTAACAAATATTTATTGAGCAAATACTAGGGGCCAGGCCCCAGGTTGGGACTAGGGTCCCAGCCGAGAGTAAGGCCAACATGATCTCTGCCCTCATGAAGCTTCCAGGTGTGGGGATGAAGAGGAAAGGGTCTGTGCTAGGCTTCAGGGGCAGTGGGGATTTTGAGAAGCGGCAAAAGGAGAAGAGGGGTTCAGGGGCAGAGAACTGCCCGAGGAGCAGCTCTCAGAACCTACTCGCCCAGCAGTGCAGCGATGCATTTGTCAGACTGAGCTGTACCGAGGCCTGTACATGAGGAAGGCCTGTACAGCTTCATGAGGAAGCTGTCACTGGGCCCTGACATCCCGGAGCTCAAAGGCTCAGGGCTCTGGGAGGAGGGAGACGGGGGAGGCTGAGTCCTGAGGAGTCAAGGGGGACGGGGGCCCAGCCATGGGGGCTAAAGTCACAGAGATGGGGGTGTGCTAGTCAGGGTTCTCCAGAGACACAGAGCCAATGGGATTTATATAGATATATAATATATA